GCATTAGCCGATCCTGCACAGAGCGATTCTCACGCGAGGAAGCCACAGAAACTTGCCACCTTCCGGCCTTCATCTCCTGCTTCTCCTGGCGCTCTCGCCGCAGCTGTGCCTTCACTGTCCGCAGCTTTTCATACAGGGCGGCCCGGCTGGCACTGGAGAAGTTTTGCCTCAGATCACCGGTCTTCGAGCGACGGGAAACTGGACAGATGTAGTCGAGATGCATTTCCTCCTTTGCCTTCTTCGCCTGTCAAGCTGAAACGAAAAAGCATCTTCTGCTGGCCTTCGGAAGCCGCTGCCTGCTCTAGAAGCAGCTTGATTTCCTGCATCCTCATGGCTTGCTCCTGTGTCATGCCTGAGAAGATTGACACCGATACTGTGCTATGCACAAAGCTGAGATGTTTGACACTCTCATCCGACCTTTTCCAAGCGTCCATTCCTGCGCTGTCTGCACAATCGAGAGCGTCTGCTCCAAGTCGGCTACCCTGCAAGCAGGCTGTGAAGCCAAAGCTTTGTTATCTGAGACGCATGCCACTGGGCCGCCTGTCTTTCAATTTCTTGTTTTCCTTCTTCAACTCTGAGACCTTCGCTCGCACGAAGTCCAGAGGCCTCCGGGACAGGCAGCGAAAAGCAAAGGTCCGAGGGAATCTGCTGCCAGTCTTCGGCTTGTGCCTTGCACCGAGGTTGACGGCCTCATCTGCGTGGGTGTGCGCAATCAGAAGATCCACCGGGTCTGGTGGGTCCAAGAGCATTGCGTCGTCATCCTGAGGCATCAAAGCCCTAAACATATCTAAACATGAAAACTTCAGGCAGTTTGGCAGGTCCTCAAAGCCATCTGCTTCGAAGCTCGCGCTCTTTTTGGGCTCGCCGTCGACGAGCGCGTCCGCAAAGATCTCTGACATTGGGGGATGCCTGACTCATGCAAGGAAATGATTTTGGCGTTTCAGCGAGGGCCCCCACGCACCTCGCAAAGTGGCAAGCCAGGCCCCTCTTGCAACTGCGAGCCCAAAACAGCGGATTGGTATGCTGGCTGAAAGCTCGCATATGACACCAGCGGAGCAAAATGCAAGGGCCACTGCCATATCTCCAAGACCTGAGACTTCGACCGCTGCAGTGGGAGCAATGATTGCTTCTGCCACGCCTGGCGGACAGCCAGACTCCGACTCATATGCCGTCCTGGAAATGGCATCCCGCCGCAATGCAAAAAAATGCTGATCGCCCATGACCTCAAACATGCGAGCACACACATCTCCGCATCTAGGTGGGAGGCCTCCACACTGCTGAGCAGGACGTGGCCAGCTCCTGTGGTCCTGGCCCGTCATTTTCATCACGGAGCAGCGACTCGCACGAAAGCATCCTTTTCCGGCAGCGCACCTGGTAGCTTGGAGAACAGGAACCTCACAGAAAAATCCCAACATGTCCTTGCCCAACTCTCTGGAACACATCTGAAACAAACAAAGCTAGCAAAGGCCGGCTGGCCTCTGCAGGAAGCAAGCTCTGAAGCCACGGCTCCATGCTTCGCACGTACGTCCTCTTTGCAGATTTTCTCACTTCTCAAGCACCACGTCTCACGCAGGGCACCCATGCCTGTCGGGAGCGTTGGAGACCAGAACCGAGGCATCTGGCCTGCCAGGTGGCTGGGACACGTGCTGAGCCCAAGGGATCAACGAAGCAGCTGTCCTTCCGTCGCCCAGCACACCAGACTCGTGGCCTACACTTTGAAGCCAACTCAGACCTGCATGAAAGGAAGCTTGTGATCGGCTTTCGGCAAGCATCCAACTCAGGCGAAGTCTGTCGGAGAACATGCAGCAGGCAAGGACTGCAGCCTGAACGGGGGTCACATCAGAAAGCCCGAAGTACCAAGGTCAAGGGCCTTGACGCCGGATCCGCACAGATCCAACACTCGCTCGCCTGGCCTCGGCTGTCCATGGCTGTCCCATGCTGTCCCACAAGGAAGAGCTCTCCAAGACACATGACCAAAAGCGGGCCGAGGCGGTGCCTAAGCCCTGCACTGTGCACCGAGCAGCAATGCGCAGATCGCTGGATGGGCAGGAACTGAACAATACCTGCAGACGAAAGCACACAGACACAGGCATGGCAAAAGCGGATCCATTTTTTAGCTCCAGGCTCCAGAGACGGCAAATGTGGAACGCCAACGCCAGCAACCTGACTCTGACTCTGGCTTCGGAATGCCGTCAGCTGCAGACCGGCAAGGGCAAACGGGCCAACGGGGCGACGGGCCTTGCGGGAGTCGTGGGGAAGCTTGTCATCCTTCACCTGCCAGTGGGAGCCAAAAAGACATGTGAAACCAGAGACCCATTTTTGCCCACCTCCAAGAGTCTTTTGGCAGGGAGCTTCCCAGGGCTGGAACGACTCCGTCTCTGGCAGAGAAGCACCTATAGCTGGGGCACGATAAAAAAAAGCTCATATGACCCGAAAACCCACAGACCAGATTCCCGCCTGATCTTCAATGGGCTCCAGACAGTTCTCCTGCAATGGTGGTTCGGTCGTTCGTGCTTTGACAGAGCATGGCCTGGCCGTCCTGGATTACTTGGTGGCGGACATCCGCCGACGCAAAAGGACTAAGCCTCAGTTTGGGCATCCAAATCCTGTGACATGACTCAGTGCCATGCTGTACAAGAAACTCGGTGTGAGACAGAACTAAATTCTGATCCAATGGCGGTTGGACCACCTGACACGTTGACAACCCTTCACCTGCAACCCCAACACCACGAAGTGCCACTTCAGTGGGCTCAGCGGCTTTGTGGCCTGCTCATCAAACCCTCGGCTTCCTTGAGCAAACTCGATCGACTCGAGCTTCTCCTGAAGCACTTTGAGCTGGTTTTTTTCCATACGGTTGCTGCCGCTCGGAGTCTGGCTTCCAAGGTCTGTTCGGTTTCAAACCTTCGGGAGCGCAGGGCGGTCGAATTTTTGCGATTTCACGAAAACGTTCTGCTCGCAGCCTCTGAAGGAAGCTCTTCTGCGAGAAAGCCCCGGCGGCTGACGACACGCTGGCCTCGTCCGGAGCGTGTCTGACTTGCCTCTAGACAAGGTGGACCTGGCCTCCCAAACTAAAGTGTCGGGAGCGCCCCGACAGCTCACAGGACACTCGATGGCGATTTGGGTTTGCGCCATCGTGTCCCCTCGTTTCCCGTCCCTCAAAGTGACAGCATGTTCTACTGCACACTTAAGCCAAAACCGAAGCATGCATCAGTCGACCCAGGCAGACCAGGCAGGAAGCAGCATCCCCAAAATCTACAAATGGCATGTCGTGCAGCATCAATGACATAATGAGGAAGCTCTGCGACCTCAGAAACCTTGTTGACGCTTTGCTCGAAGGTAAGATGCTGCTGCCTGAGATGGCGTCAGCCAGGAGGATTTTCAGGTCTGCACGGGGGTACTGCTGTGCAAAATCTTTTGCATCCACCGGAGGGGGCGATTCATGTGTCCCGGGCCTGTTCACATCATCGCCCTTCATTCTGAGCTCATTAACCTTGCGGAACAGACGTGCGCACCCAGAACGCACAGTCGGTTGAAGCTTCTGCCAGCTGACGGAACGGGGCACGGGTTGTTGCTGCCGAGGCACCTCTGTTTGCAACTGGATGATCTGCTGCTGGAGCTGCTGATGCGTGTGAGCATAAGCCTCCCGACTCTAGCCGGCTCCTCTGCCCCACCTGCATTTCCTATGTCTGCGGCCTTTTTCAAGGTTTCAAGCTCCAGCGTCTTGAACCTGGCTCGAGGCAGCACGAGGCTGCATACACCCCAGCGACTCTGTTACAGACACAAGCATGCCACGCTCACTGCAGTTGCTCCGACAAAGACTGGCACTCTGCATGGACCTGCGAGAGACTGAATGGCAATTCTTGCTACTGGCAACGCTCCTGTCACCTCCTGCTCAAAATGGCTTTTCGTTTTCTTCATGTTGGCGATCTCTGTGTACCTGGTCTTCTGCGATCTAGCTCTGCGACTGGCAGATGTCTGGAAGAATCTAGCCTCGCTGCTTGGGAAAAACTTGCGAGGGCACGCGTCAGTCAGCTTGTCTCGCAAATCGGAGATCTGCGACTGCATTTGCTGCTGCACCTTTCCATGCACAGCAATGCGAGGCAAGAACCTTCAAACAGGCCAGGTCTCAGCCAAGGTAGGGCTTGCACGGTAGCAGTGTTTCTTTTGAACTCTGTCAAGTCCGTGTTGTTGGACGTAATACCTGTCATTGTCCAAAGCGCGGGGAAGCACGTGGAGAAACACCGTTGAATCGATTGCATGTCGAGGGCGATACCATTGCGGATGATGCCCATTTCTGCCAGCCTTGAAAAAAGCACAACTAAGGTGAAGCAACAACAAATTGAAGCCCGGTTCTGAGGCAAAAGCATCTGCTGAAGGGAAGAGTTGCTGCGCAACTTCATCTCCTGAACTCACTCGGAGATGTGGCGTGCAAAAGCTGGTCTTGTCGTTTAGCACACTGGATCGCTTGCTGCAGCCCGTGGCTCGGAAAGCCACTGTGCAAACGCCAGCACTGTGACGTCCAAGTCCTTCGTGAAGCAAAAAATTGAAAGCAATAGATCAAGCGCGCCTCCATTCATGTAGCAAGTCCTGGGCAGAAGGGAGGCGCTTGCCTCCGCCGTCAATCCTGACTTGAAAAATGATGCTGTCGGCAACTTGATCTCTGAAGCTCCATCAAAGCCGGGCACTCTATGCCACCAGGATGTGCCATGCTTGCCTTATCGCGAATGCCACTTCGACCGCAAGAAATGTAAGCTGAAAAGAGAACGTCGAGCGAGCCGCAGTGCTACGGGGTCCCTTTGCCCGCAGCCTAGCTACAGCCACAGCCTTTGCCTTAAGCCAAAGCTGAAGATAGAGCATGATAGAGCTTGCATAAATTGCAGGTCGATGGAGCGACTGACCGGCAAGAAACATGCACCTGGGTCAGTGTCTTCTGAGAAGGTTTTTTTTCTTTGTTGCCGCACTCTGTACAGTGTTGGTGCTGGCTACGAAGTCACAGTGAGTCATCCCCCCACACTCAGGATGGTTTGGCCTTGGTGACGGCAGCCACATTCACGACTGGCACATGCAAAGCAGGAAACCCTACTGTTTCGATCCTGACCCCTTCCGTCTGACACAGTAGCCGTGGTGGAACTCGCTCATTGAGCAATGTTGACCTGTTTCTTTCCCAAAGGTTAGCATAGCTCGCCCGAGCATAACTCGCCCCTGCGATCAGTGCGCCCCCCACATGTTGTGGGGACACACCCATCCGATGCAAGCGCAGTTCGGTTCCTGCTCCACTCTGGGCTTTGGCTTCGCCCTTGTTAGGAGTACTGATCACCACTTCTATCATTCCAACAGTGTCCAAACTCCCTTCCAGGTATACGATACTCCATGTCCGATGAGATTCTTATCGGAATGGTTGACAAGTTGTCGGGCCGTCCTGCCCCCCCCCCTCCCGTCGCACTGAATCATGCTCCAACAGTTTCAGTCGCCTCAAAGCAAGGTACCTTGCTCGAGCCAACAACGACGACAAGACAAACAGTGCAAATTCCGCGGCGGATGGGTGTGTCGTTCTTTTTGACAGGGTGTTTTCATTTTTCGTGTTGGAGGCCACTAGTCCATGTTTTATGTGCTTGGAAGGCAAATGTGGGAAAGTGCCGCTAGGGCGTGGTTTTCCGCGTACTTGGCTTGCATGTGATCTTGGTTTTCAAGCTTTGCTTGACCGCCAGTAGGCCTCTCCATTCTTGTTGATGTGTCGTTCGTGCGACACATGGTGACAAAACGATGTTCTATCATGTTCACATCAGGCACCTACAGCCCGCCAACCTGAAAAAAATCGCTCTTGAGAACGGCAGCAGCAAGACTGAAGTGGGTCAACGAACAAAACACAACGACAAACATGCACGTCATCATTCCCATCCCAACCCCTTCACCCTTCACCCAACCCAAAAGAATCGACAGAGACTTGAACAGACCCACATAACAAACGCAGGAACAACAGGATAAGGCTTCTACATCGTGCATACTACCAATGCAAATGCCATTCTCTTGACTCTCCCAACAGGGTTATGTCCAACCTGCAACAGCCAAGAGTTTTAGCAAGGGCAAAACTCAAGTCTTGATTGGCATGTCATCATGACCACCACCACCACCACCACCACCACCACCACCTCCATGATGCCGGAGCGCATCCTGCGACATACTCGCTGACCTAGCTCCTGTCGCATCGTCGGTATTCCCTTGACTGCGGTACAAACAAACCACCGCCACCAGCATCACCGCCACCCAGAACCCTTTCACCAGGAAAGAAACCTCAAAAAATCAAGCCCAAGCAAGAACACAAGCCATGACAAAAGTTCGCCCATTAAAAAGCATGAGATGTTGTAACTGCTGGCATTGTGAGGAATGCTGGGGCTTCATGCTCAAACATGCCAGTATGCCAGCTGCCATCCTGAAGCAGCCAGGAGCTACACGGTCACAGATGTAGAAACGATTTTGGCACGCCGATGGCCTTCTGCATGTCTCATCTGCTTCCTTGAATGGAAGGGCCTGCATTGGGCTTGATCCGGTGCGAGTGCAGCTTTCTCTGCTATCAACCCTCCATCCTGCCTCCAACTGGTCGACGATCCCTCCTTTGTCCAGAACCGTTGCCTCACATCCAACCAACACGATGCGAGACCTGAGTACCGCGAGATGTTGCACTGACACGTCTCTCGCCACACCAGCCAAGGCCACGACAGCAAGAACAAGCTGCAGCGTCGGACTTGCGATTCCACATGATGCAGAGCCTCTGGGAATAAGTTCCCAAGGCGTTTCATTGCGAAGCCGCCACACTATCGCACGGCCTCTTCCGCCAATTCCACGCAATGCTGACAGAGCACTTCACGGTCAGGGCAAGCTCGGCCCGCACATTCAAGCATGACCTTAACTATCCAACCGCAAATATGGCGGGAATCGCAGGAGCAGGTCGAGCCAGGAAGCACACCGCTAGTGATCGAAGGAACTCCGCGAACAGATTTGGTTCCCCTTCAATGTGAGTGTGACTGTCTTGTCACTCGTCGGGCACGATACACGATGACACTGTGCTATGCAACTAGGGATCTTGCCCACAGCCCACTTGGCTGCTCCACCATCGGGCTGCTTCCACCTAGGCTCTCTGTCATCCAAGACGCAAAAAAACGCGAGCCATGTGCGCCGTTTCAGGAAGTGGGCCTGTTCACCAGCGGAAGTAAGAAATGGCGTGCTTCTGCGGAGAACCTGTCCCGATGTCAGAAGCCACATCATGCCACGTCTTGGCACTCCCGACACAGCTGGCGTCTCCTGTTTCTGAAAGATGCCGGCATCCGCGTGGCTGATGCAAATCGACGCGATTTCCCGGAAAGCTGATGTGGTGGCAGCTGGACTGGCAAGGATGCAGCTGGCACACTTCATGTGGAGGCACGCACACAGCGGTCGTGGCCTGCGGCCCTGGTCTCTTCCACCTTGCACGTCCCAAACATGTTGACCTAATGCCAATTAGCAGCCTGCCTTATGCCATAGCCTGCTTGCCCCCCCCCCCCCCCGCCCGCCCACCTCCTTGCTCGACAGCTTCCGCGCTGCGGAGGAGAGGGCGAGCAGAAGCGAACGGCGCTCGTTCAAGGAGAGATCCTGGGAGGTGGTGCCGAAGGGCAAGGAGCCCACTCCGAACGCTCTGTGCTCCTCAGTAGTGAAGTTTCCAGTGAGGCATTGAACAGCTTGGCGCCGGCTAGCATCAACCACCAGCAAGGCCACGAGAGCCTGCAGGGAGTGGGTGGTAGAATCCGGCGGCTTCTGAGTGGCTGTGGCACGGCCTCGATCCTCATGTCCTGGAGTTCTTGGCCACTCACCTGATGCAGTGCCTCTCTGGTATTCCCTGTCCTTCTTCGTCTGCTCCGTTGCTCCGTCTCTCTATCCGTGTGATTCTGTACAGGGCAGACCCCAGCCCACTTCATTCAACCGTGGCAATCGTTTCAGTGAAAGTGCTTGACGAAAAAAAGTCGGTCACGTGCTGCCGCGGACCTTCTTTTGGTGTCAGAGGGCAGCTGACAATCTCATGCTGGCGTGCCTTCATGGCATCATCGAGCCCTTATCTCCTAGTCCAACACAAAAAAAGGGATGGCTAATGTGGGCGGGCGCACAACACGTGAAACGAAAAGCGTGATGCGGCCCGTCTTGCCCACCAATGTGGAAAGGATTGCTGGGGATTGCAAGGTTGAAAAAACAAAGCTGCGAGATTAACCCAAGATCAAGTGTGGGCAAATCCGCGCATCTGGATTCAAGCTCAAGGGCTGTAAACTGTTGCGGCTGAGGCATAGGGTCCGGTCGCGGTTTTTTGCATGATCCTTTCCGAAGATCACATGAAAACCAGCATCAACCGATCAGCCACCCCCAGCGGATTCAGCGCTCCCGAATGTTGGGATTCGCGACAAGAGGATGCATCGACACGTTCTAGATGTGGCGTTGTCAACAACCGCTACGACACAACATCTACGAACACGCAGTGAAGAACTACTTCCCCGCACTGCTGTTCCTTCTCTCGGTGTCCAATATTTGCTTTGCTGAAGGGTGCGCGCCGATCCAGCAGACTCTGCAACACGCTGACCCTGGGCACGTGTGTCGCCTCCATGCGGAGCAGACGAACGCAAAGGGGCTCCGCAAGCCTGGAGTCGACGAGCAACGCCGAATGGCAAGAGCCATGAGAAAACTGAAGGAGCCCGATTGCCTGGGAAGATCATCAGACCCCGCAGCAAGCAGCGCTGGCAGGTCTGCCTGCACTTGCCGAGACAGCTTCCGAAAACCCAAAGCTCGAGCACCTGATGCTTCATGTACAGATATATGTTAAGTAACAGTGTTAAGGCTTCGACCAAGGCTGTCCAAATTCTGGCACGGGCCACTGCCTTGAATCTCGGTTAGTGCACCACACTGTCTGCAGCGGGCATCGTTAATTTAAAAAAAGATCTACAAAAACACAGCTGATTCAAGTCTCCCGAAGATCAGTGCACCGAACAGTCGGAAGGACCGCATCATCCAGACCATGAGGCTCGTCTGCCCTTTAGTGACGTTTTCTCATGCTTTCCACTTATCTTTCGGACGGTTGTTGAGGCAATGGCTGGAGGTTCCGGGGCGGAGCCTGGCTTGCCGAAGGCCTTTCAGAAGACCGACTCCGGGTTTGCGACTGGAATTACGTTGCTCACTCCTCGTCACTCAGCGGCATGGAGGGAGTTTTTGCAGGCCCAAGCCTGTGGTGCAGTCGCATCTTGACTGTCAACAAATGCAAACATTATTGAGAGGTCGTGAGCGCCCCACAGCATCTCGTACGCATTTTGGAGAAAGGTAGGATGCCTGCAGTGCTCGAAGACAGTTCTCCATAAATGAACTTAATTCCAAGCATCCCCGAGCCCTAATGAGGCAAGAGCTGGACGAGGAGCAGGTCAGAGCAGGAGTCGTTTTGAACATCCAAGGGCTGCAAGGGAGACAATCCACCTGCGACCCATCCGGCGCAATTGGCTCTGCCACGCCAAAACATCGACCCTCGTCTGCAGAGGTCCGAGGTCAGCGCGGAGCGGATGGCATTCCTCTTCGTCGTCGCTGTCCTCTTCCGGCACCGGCTCTGGCTCTTCTTTTGACAAAGTCTGGCAAGGAAGCTCCTTGTGCAAACATGCTCAAAGTTGCGACATGCTGGAATACAAAGCAACCAAAGAGGCCTCCTCCTCCTTCTGAAAGCTTGCCTCAAGTACAGGGTTGCCAAGCATGCTGACTGCCCAAACCCTGCCCAAGTCCATGCAAGCTCCCAGCAACTGATGGAACTTGTGGATGTGATTCTGCCACAACTTGCATGGCGACCTGTGCCATCAGGGATCGAGAAGCGAGGCCGTTGTGCGCGGATCAGTTAGGACTAACGCGACTCAGTCGCCAACAGCTTCGAAGTCGGTGAAAGCCAGCTGAAAGTCTGCCACCTCTTCGGCAAAGGAACGAATCTCTTATGCTTTCTGCAAACATCACCCAATTTGCAACCGAGTATCAGCTGCATCGGCCCTTGCACAAAAGGTGCTTCAGTTCAGTGTTTGATGATTCATGATGGTTGGACGGTCTCATTGTACAACACACGTTAACTGGCGGCGGTAGGTTTGCAGGGCCATGCCTTCCAAGTGTCACTGTATGTCATCTTCATAATCGTATGACTTTGTATATTGTGTTGATTATAACATTATCATTATCAAGTTAAGCAGAGCGTGACACACCGGACCTTCAGTTGTGACCTGTAAGCAAAGAGCTGGCACTCTATGACGAATTGCTCCACCCAGGTATCCTAACTGTATCCCTTACGAAAACATCAAGCAAGCCTGTCGAAGCCATCGAATCGGAGCTGCTTTTGCTGCTCATCGACTCCCGAGCACCAGCGCTCGGCCAACTGTTCGGCCAAGGCCATTCCAAGCAATCGTCGCTCTCTCGTCTGCGCAGACAGCCTGAGATGAATACCTTGCAATAAACACTTCGAGGAATGTCCAGGGATCGGATCTTGGTCCGCGATGTGTACACGCGCTGCTCTTGCAAGTCTCAGCGCCAAGTTTCGTTCCGCCGCGAGGTCTGAAGACTGAAAGTGGGAAGGATCGGCCCATGCCTCTAACCAGTGTGCATAGGCTGGCCACCAGCATTCTGCTCCAGCTGCATGCATCGTGTCAACTATAAAGAAGACTGCTGCAGATGACAAGCCACTGCCACATCGTTTCTGCCAAAGCTGGACGGCAAGAAGCTGCTGGATGGGGCGACCAGCTCCTAACGAGGGATGTATCAATGCGGAAAAGCGTACCATGCCTTCGTCCCCGCAAACAAGCCGACAGCCAGACGTCTTAAAGTATGCTTCTGTTTCGCGCAAAATTGCGCAAACCAACGCTCTGCTTGCTTGCGGATGCTGGTCTGCTAATTTTGCTATTGATTTCCCCAGCACGATGGCGAAATCCATTGAAGTAAGCGTCGCCTTGCAAAATGCACGAGCGAGAGCAGCGGCATTGCCCCTCAGGGACATGCGGCCCAAAATGTCCCAGCACGAAGGGTTAATCTCGAGATGATGGAAGCACGGTTCCGAGCACATTGCCATCAGCTGTGCTTCAACAAGCCTGCGCAGGTAAGAAGACTCCAACCATTCTACGAAGTCTTTCCCAGTAGGCTCATGGAAGATCCTCGCACATGCAGCTGCCAATTGATCTTGCAAACCACAGAGCCATCCGGAAGCTACCTGACCAACTTCCGGTGAGAACATGTGGTTCCTCCGCACCAATGCTGTGACTACTACCTCCAAAGCTCCTCCAGCCAGCCAAGCTTGTACAAACTGAAGGGCCAGGAGAACATCTGCCGGCAGTGCACGTTCGAAGCCCTGCCGCAAGGCTAACAACAGCCCACCCAATGTCAAAACTGCCGTCATCGGAAATTCATCTCCAAGATCTGCAGCAGACACGAAAAATGTAGACAGTGCTCGCTGTAACTTCAAGCGGCCCGAAGCGGCTCCCTTCAGCACATGTAACGTTGATCTTCGGGCAAAAAGCCCCGCATGCTCTGCCGGGTCACTGCAAAGCAACGCAGTGACAGCTTCCGAACTGTTCAACACAGAGCATATCCTTCCTTCTGCGTACGCACCATCTGCATCTCCACCACTCTCAGTAAACTCGTCCAGCACTTTGTTTAACTCTTGAAAAGATGATGAGACCACCATGGCAAATAAGTTTGCAACAGCATTTCTGGACTTGGACCAAACCTGCTCGCCCCGAGAAATGGTAACAATAACGAACATATCTCACTTGTTTGGTCAATTGCCTGACTCGTCACATATTTGTTGTTTCAGACCGCTACAGACAAACTTGACTGCAAGATATCTGCCCATTACACGTATACCGCATAAAAGTTAACGCTTTAATGCATCAGGCACTTATTTGGCTCCGGACATGCACTGAAATGCATGCAAACAATTCTTGGCCCGTCCCGCCCCCCCCCCCCTCACACACGCCACACACAAACGATCAGCGGTATTTCACCCTGCGACATTGTCACTGGGGTGCGGCGGCTATAGAAAGCTTTCATCCATCATCAAGGAAGCATACGCCATATCTGGTGAAGCATGGTGTGCACATGGGAGCTCTTCCGCACCCTCCTCGACTGCCCGTGGGCGCTGACATGTCGAGATACATGCCAAGACTCTACTGTTCTTGGGTGGTGGCACTTGGGGCACGCCAAGGGGCGCGAGTATCTGCAGGACTGTTGCCAAATCGCTTGGAAGCCCGACTGCAGCCATCAAAACGATCGCACCTGTGGGGACGCTGTCCACCCAAAAATGGATCGGAGCCAACGAGTCCTCTGTGAGCACTTCAGGAAGCTCGAAATGCCGACATGCCCTGGATCCTGCCAATTTGACATACAAACCCTGGACATGCGACCCTACGTCTTCGTAGGTCTCGCTTCTGGGGTCTCGCAGAGAAACAGAAGACAAGTCCTCTGATATCCCACAAGCAGCAGTCAGCTTTGCAGCGGGAAGTGCTGTCTCTGCCTTGTCCGACTCCACAAACCACCCAGCGCGGCCCCCATGACGGCGCCATGCCACTTGCCGAAGTCGTGGCACTTCTGGCCGGGGAGCCGGTGCACGAGCAGGGGAGAAATTGGGCGTCAAGCGCCCGAGATCCAAGTGGAACTCTCGCTGCAGCTGCTCGAAGATGTCAAACCACTCCCCCAGTGCAGCCGACAACAGGTTCATGGCGCCTTGCGAAGCTGCCACTGGTATTTCGAGGCATTCGGGTTCCCGGCCGTTCTTGTAATGGCGAAAGAACTCGCCATCCTCGTTCAGCTCCAAGCCCACCGTGTCCCAAGAATTTCCGCTGGCTTGCGCGTCAAACTTCTCACGATCACGCTTGACCCAGAGCCAGTAGCCCATAAATTCCTCGGCAAAGCGCTCCACATATTCAGCGTCACGGGACCTGTCCGGCCAGAAATCTTTCCATGCGCTGTCCAACACCCGATGCCATGGCTTTGCCGTCGGCTTTCCCGAAAAGTGCACTACTCGGATCTTCTCGGGTGTCTGCACTAGAACAGATCTTTCCGCATAGTAGGCACGGTCTGGGTGCAAAGCGAAAAACATTTGGTGCAGCTGAAAATTATACTCCACTCCGATATAGGTCCAAGGCGCATCCGCCCAGAAACGACTTAAGTAATCTTGCTCAGGGCCGTTTCCCTTCACATGTTCTGGGTGGTTGGGCTCGGTAAGTTCGTCGAGCATCTGATCAAAGACAGCTTGGTCGGGCTGCCACAGCATCACACCAGCGTTGATCCCTGTGCCTTGTCCCCAGGACCAACGTGGCATAGATTTGTCTGCACCCAAAAAGAAGACACGACCGTCCACTGGCTCGCCATGACCGAGAAAAACCTCGTTCATGCCACGTCTCAAGGCGGCTGGCGGGGTCAGCTCGAAGAGGTCATCTATGTTTGAGCGCACCAGGAGGTCGATATCCATCATGAGAACCTTTGAATACTCAGTTAATGCAAGGCCGTTCAACTTGGAAAAGACTTTCGCAAAACGATCTTCCTTGTCAGGAAAGCTGAGTTGATCCATTGCAACATCAATGTGGCTCATGGGCCTGCAAAGCCAAAGCTTGGACAGCAACTTTATGTGCGAATCCGGTACATCATTTGTGTACAGGCACACCCGATCGTGTGGCGAACCTGTCTTCCTGATGGAATAACCAAGCACCAAAGCACCGAGAAGGTACTCGCGAGAAGCACCCCACAAACAGATGAGGAAAGCACACTTTCCACGAAACTCCGGCGGAGGAGCTTCATTTGTTCGGCGGTGCCCGAGTTCTATGTTCATGGGTCGCTTGCAGGAAGGACAGAACGCACTCCATGTGCCCAAGGTTGTTGGAAAGCCGAACTTCACACAGGTGCCCCGCAAGGGTGAAGATATGCGAAGGCCTACTCTCCGCCAAAGTAGCTTCAACCCTGCCAATGCTGTCCAGGCTGAAAGTAACAAAGCTGGAGCCACCAGGAACTTGCCGCGACCAGGCCAAGAGTGTCTTGCACGCAGCAGAAGCATCAACGCAAGAAGCGGCGACAAGGCATCGACCACCAGCTTCTTCCTCCAAACCTTCAGGCTTGATTGTGGTATCATGGCCATCGCCTCATTCACCTCACGAAGTGCCAAAGATTATGGCATGGCAGCTGCTGGAACTCTTCAACAGGCTGCAGATGTTTATGGGTGGACTGACTTCAACCTAAGAAGTTCACCAGCAGGTTCAAGGAGCCAAAGTAGACAAGGTCCTAAAGAGGGTCTAGCCGATGGTCACGGAACTGGTGCTCTCTCTCAGCCTGGCACTCGGGCTATGAGCCGCAGCATGGAAGGCACCAAAGCGCACTAGCAGGTTGAGCTGCCTGACAACGTCTGAGCAATTTTTCGAAGCCGAGAGCCAAGCTAAAACTTTCCCTATAAGAGCCTACGTGGTGAAACTCGGCCAGAAACCTCACGTGGATTTGCTCTTCACCTCCCCACAATCCACAATGGTAACCTGCATGGCTTTCGTTTGCATATAACAGACAGCAGCTTTGAATCCTGTGCGCTTAGCACCTTCAAGCTTTCAATGGCTTCCGAATTTCGCACAGTTGCTGCCTTGTTCTTCGGAGTTCCATTTGACGAACCTTCGGCTCGCGTCTTTGGCCAGTGAACCCTAATCCCTTCCATGGCATTAAGCGGCATCTTGTATGCATGCTCTGCAGCAGCCGCCTGTGGCGCCCATCTTGTTGACAATATCCTCAGCCACTGCGTCACCAGCATAGTATAGGACAAGCCACGTAGCAAAGCAACTAAGGACTTGGCAAGACCTTCTGTTACCTGCCCAAAAAGGACGTGCTTCCCGTCTAAGTGTGTACCTGAGCGTACAGCCGACCTCATGCTACAGCACAAGCCTTGGTGCGAATTCATTTCTGTAACGAGCCATACTGTTCTAGCATGTTCCAGGAACTGCCCTCCTCCACAAAGTCCGTTGCAGCGTTCTGTTGACCACAACTTGTGTGCCTCATGCGTCCCTGTTTATCCCTGTGCAGGTCTGCACTTGGAAACAGCAGTGTTGAGCACCTCAACACGGTCAGGAACACTACTAAGCTTCGTCGATGCTCAAGTGACGAATGCGTACCGGTGTTAGATTCAGAAGAGCCAATCAAGAAATTTTGCATTCCTGGGACGACTTCGCCTACGCAAGCCTTTGATGTTGTCAACCACATTCGGGCATTCCCGGATTCCCGCCGCATCCTGTATGGAATATTGGCTGTTCCAGGAAATTCTATTATTGCAACCGTAAGATTTAGTGTGGTGCAGAGCTGGTAGCTGAACTAGGTGAACCTGTCTGGTGCATCTCAAGACCGTGACTGCTATCTGTGATTTAATCTGAGTGCATCTGCCACTGATGGACTGCTTGCCGACTTGTGCAGAGCTTGCTCCATGCACTCGCACTGCAAATTCTCGGCCCACGACAGGCTGCTAGGGTGATAAAAAACTGCGAGCCGTTGGTATCCTGTCAACAGCTGCAGCGTCGCCGGATGCCATCAGACTACATGAGCATCTTCGGTGCCTTCCCTGCGTTCGCCATGGAGAGCATGCCGGCTTTGCTGTGCCTGTGTGACAGGTGGATGGCAGCAAACAGACGCCTACCGTTCCCGCCCAAGGAAGGCACGTGATGTATCCATTTGTCCACTCGTCCTCAAACTTCTCGCCGTAAATTGACCTATGCTCTCCGGCTCTCCAAAATTCACGGGCTCTAACCGAGTCTGGGGAGGCTGGCTCTCCACCAGTGCCATTTTCGTTGGTGAAATCCTAGGCAACAATGGCCAAAAAAACCTGCGACGAGCCCAATCGCTTAATTCGCGGCAGGCTCAGGTCCAAGCACCTCCTTGGCACATGAAGCCAGGAATGATCCGGTGGAAGGTGTTGCCTGATAAGACCGTCAGCAGGTCAACCCGTGACACCTATATACCCCCATGCGTCCTCTCAAGACCTACCCGATCTCTGCACCTATCCATTTAAGAAAGATCTGGCTTGCGTGTGGCTTTCTTTTTCTATGGGACCCCCGTTTGCAACAGCAGTTGTCCGTACATCGTCAGCATGTTCGACGGTCCAGAACTGGTGGCTTTCTTGCGGCAGCCGACTTCAGTGGAGAGGGGGTGTGACCTGCCAAACTTTTGCAAGCTTCGAAGACCAGAGGCTCGGAACTCCCAAGGTTCTGCCAAGGTCGAGACGCAGTCAGCGAATGTTGGGCACATGTTGGAGTGGAGTACACTTTGTCAAGGCTTCTATGGTATTGCAAAGTTAAGCACATGTTGCCTCATGTTGCATCGTTACAGCAAATCATGGGGCGGGAAAGCCAAGGGTGCTTCCTTGGTGCCTGCCTGGCTTGGTTGGTTTCTGCCGAAGTTCAGTTTTTCCCTTGTTGCTTTCGTCGTTGGATCCCAGTCCGAACCGGACTTGCCCTCTGCATTCCTGCTCCCGCCTCCAGCACCACATATCTCCATGCTAATGCTAAACAATGCTGAAGACTGCACAAGACACCTCGCGCCTTTGAAGGTCAGCTTCTTGCCAGACTTCCCCTCGCCCTGGCCGGTATCGGTGCCCAGAAGTCACCGGCTAAAAGTCGGTCTCAGTCCTTCTCCCCGGTGCAGAGGGCACGGAAATTCCTGTTCACACTGCGCCGGACTGGCGCCATCGAAGAACCAGCTTTCGCAGCCGAGAATCTCTGCAGTCTTTGGATAGCTCTTGGCGAAAAGCTCGATCACCACCTGATAGACCCCCGCAAATGATCTCCCTGTTCGTGTCCAGCGAAGAAGATTAGAGAAGCACCTGCTCAGGCTCCGCATCCCCGATCTTCATGCTCAGGAACACCTCAGGGCTTCTCTACCCTGCGCTTGTGGCTGCCTTTCATGCGTGGCCTCGCATGGCGACGCATGGTTGCTCTAGGCTAGAATGCGCACCTTAGGGTTCTCCTCAGAAGATGCTTCTGAAATTGGCAGCTCCTGGCGTCGGCTCGGCGGTACGCGTGGACATGAGAGAAGCGAAGAGAGGGAAACCGAACCTTGAGATCAGAAGGACCACCCTTCTGAAAGTAGCCCTGCAAGAGCTGGAAGCCAAAGAGGCACACCAGGGCTATCCTTGGTTTGTGAAGTCATAAAAAAAAAAACGAGAGAGAGAGAGTGAGAGAGAGTCTCTTCGTTCATCTCTTTAAAGGCGCGGACGGCATTGGGTTCGCCTGGGCCTGCTCCCAGAGCCACGCCAGTCCTTCCGCCGGAGGACTCACCTGCCACGCCCACGAAGTATCAAAAAAAACAAAAGCGTCTCCCGCTGTTCGGGCCTTGTGGGTATTGCGGTAATGAGGACAAAGACCGGGAAAGGCATGCTTCCGTTTCATGTTTTTCATATGTGAAAAAGAGTAAAGTAGCAAAGATATTAGAAAGCAATGCATCGTGGCGCAAGTTTTGGTTTAAGTAACCAGCCGGCAGGTATTCAAAAGGCCGTGGCCTACACTACACTGTTTCCTGCTCTTGTCGCCTCCAAGAGCTCTAGCTCGAAGGAGATCGCCGTGTCGGGCGGAATTGCACCTGGAGAAAGGAGCATGGCTTTCACAGCTTACATTCGGCTGATTTTGCCAGGGTCCCCAACTTCCAGCCCCACGGGAGCCATATCCGATCCTGAACCAAGACTAACACGGCCTCGTTCATGAGCCCGCAGACGGAAGAGCCACACTGAGCAGCCAGCGCACTGGGTATCCAGATCCTCCAGGTGTCGCCTGGCTTCATCCTCGACATAGAAACAAACAAAACCCAAAAGGTCAAGCATGGCTGGGATCGCGTCGGAATGCGTAAAACCGTAAAGACTCCCGGTATGCAAGTAAAATTTATTCTTGATTCAAGTGCATTGGTTCGTTCAACTATGCTCGCGCATGCATGCCCGCAGTACCTCAGTCGCCAAGCTTTGAAGAGTCCTGTAACAGGACGCAAGCTTGGCTGGCGACTTGACAAGTGCCGTGCAAGAAAAAAGTCTCTGGGCTGGAGTGACCTCCAAGAAAGAGGTAAAACGGACTGTATGGGGGCAAAAACTACGCCAAGCAGAAACGATGCGAGAAGGATCCACATCGAGATCACAGTTCGAAGGTGCATTTCATTCCAACCCCATGAATCCAGGCATGCCGACCGATCTTTGTCACGCACCGCCTCCACAAATTTCGGATGGAATGTGAGAGTCTTCGGGCTCCGATGCGCCAGTCCCAATAAGAACTCGGCCATCCCCACATTCCAGTGCGAAACGGGGAGAAGGAGAAGATCAGCTTGTCTATCTGCACAGCACGAAATACATACGTAGATAAACAAAATGAGATCATACATATGTATGTACACGCATACATACCAATGATAGTTGGACATATAGAACTCTATACGCACATATGTAGAGTTTACTTTTTAACTATGTGTATGTGTATGTATGTATATATATATATACATATACAGTCATATACATTTTTGCTCACCCCCCCCCCCCCCCCC